CTAGGAATCAAAGATTCGATTTTGTGGTTTAATTGATTATGAAAATACTTGGATCCCAATTTTCATACAAAAAGGAAATATTAAAAAATCACAAAAGAATCATAGGTGGAATTAATTTTTTTCCCAAATTGAAAGGGATTGGATCACTATTTAAAGACCCTCATCTTATAAAGGGGAAATTATTCACAAAATCCTAAGTGCCCACTAGCCAGCGGAGCCTTCACTAGGCTCTATGGTTGAACCTAATACCATCTCTTCCATCCCTACAATCCAATCCCAAAACCATTATCACCTAACTTATTTTGTCCAAACCCTTGAACTATCAAGAATTAGGCTTGCCGACAATGAGATCCCTCTACCCAACGTCACCAGCAAGATCTTATCTAAGATTTTCGAGTATTGCAAGAAGCACATTGATGCCACCTTCACCAGCAAGGACAAGAACACTGACGATAAACTCAAGGCTTGGGATATTGACTTTGGCAAAGTGGTGAAATGCAAATAATCCAGAGAGAAGCTCAATACAACAACAAAGATAAAAAAGAGTCCTTAACGGTTTTGATAGAGAACCAAGACTGGAAAGAGAATTAAGAGGGAGTTAGTTTGTTAGGTGAGAACTACATTTGAGAAATACAAAACTGAAGCAAGAGCATTAAAGCTTGAAATGATGGAGGAACAAAACTAATAAATGAAAAATTCTTCTTCCACCAATTTGGTATACATCAAGTGTTTTACTTTTGGATTTTATAATTCCTTTTTATAATCATGATGCTTTATTATTTTTTTTTCCATTTTTATTTTCTAGGATGCTAAATGGATTTTTTTTTATTTTTAGTTTGATCCACATTTATTTGCTTTTTTTAATATGAACCTTCTATTTATCTTTTTTTTTTTTTTATTGATCTTACCGAATGATCAGAAGATTTAAAATTTATTTTATTATAAATTCTATTGAAAATATTGGAGAATGGCATAATAGCTTTTTTTCCTTTTGATAGAATAAAATTTTTCAATCTTACCAAACTATTGAAGGATTTAAATCTTGAATTAACTCTTACCAAACTATTGCAAAACTTAATGAATTTTTTGTGAAAAAATTAATAATAATACATTTTTCAATCCTATCAAATTATTTAAGGATCTAAATCTTAAATTAATTGTTACCAAACTATTAAAAGATTTAATTAGTTTTCTTAAATTTAATTTTATGAATGGTTTTTAAAATAAAATCTCACTAAACTATTGGGGGATATGCATCAAAGTTAAATCTTACCAAACTATTAGGGGATGTGCATCAAAGTTAAATATTATCAAACTATTATTGGAAGATTTTACTGATTATTTTTTAAATATTATATATTAATAAATCCAACAACGGAACCTCTTCAGAGTGAAACACTAATCTTCATGAATACTCTTGAGATGAAAAAATTATCTTAAATTGCTACAAAACTATTGAACTAGTTTTAAGATTAATTTCCAATAATTAAATTATTTGATAAATTTATAACAATATCTTAATGCTTGGATAATTTGAAATCAAACTGGTCTCATCCTTTGGATGGGTACTGTGAAGGTGATATAACCTTCCTATGCATAATTGTACTTTCGAACTTAAAATTTGGTATCGTGAACTAGAATCTACTATTTAAATATATCTGAGTTAAACTTGGGACTTCTATTTAAATGAGACAAATTCAGTTAAGTAGCCAATCGCGCTTAAATAAAAAAAATTGGTGACAACTCCTAAGTCTATATCTAGCGGTATGTCTACGAATCTATATGTTATGACAATTGCAACAAGGTTTTATCGAAAGATACCATCTAAAAAAATATAAAAGCATCACTACTTTGTCACCCTACCAGCAAAAAGAAAACTACAGTACCAACCTTCATATTCAAAAAATTCAACACCATAATAACTAGTTAATTAGTAAACAATAGATTTCATAGCTTTTTGTAAATAAAAGACTCCAGTTCACTATCCAAAACCTACCAGAATAAAATCTTAATAATCAGCATAATTAAAAATAATATAAATATTTACAATAAAATTTTGTAAAAAAAAGAAAGGGAGAACAAAAGACATCTAACCATAAGCACAATATATGTTTTGGCATCTTCACTGAGATTGAAGCTCCTAACAATACTTCTAATGCACAAGAAACCACCATATGCATTTCACAAACTAAACAGATGTACCATCCAGGTCATGCATCATACCGTATATGATAAAGTGATTTGAATGATGACAATATATCAAAGAACCATACCTCTGGGTAGCCTCCTACTCAAAAACAGATTACTTGCCTGCTCACCAGTTATTTTCCCATCTCTGTCAGTGTCCATTTACATGAACACTTTGGTATATTTCTGAACATCAGATGGTTTCATTTTTGGCCATTGAAGCTGGGAACTGTTTGAAGCAGCATTCATAGCTCCCACAGAAATCCCGGATGACATAATAGAGGAGGAACTTGGGGACAAAACCTGTTGGCCAGGGATTAAAGAAGAGTATGCCCTTTGACTTGAAAAAGCACTTTGCAATGGGTCAAGTGAGTTGGACTTAACTATGGGTTGGGCCCCAGTTGAAATTGATGTAACTGCTAATGAGGCAGGTGCACTGCTGGGAGAAAAAGTTTGTGTAGATAATTCTTGTTTTGGCGCAGACAAGGTTGTAGAAAATGCATTACCTCCAAATGCTGAGCCAGAAGCAAACCCATTTCCAGAAACAACTAATGCTTTAGATTCATTAGCAGTAGGTTGGGAAAACATTGGAAATGCAGTTTGTGGCTTTGATGTAGCCGAAGGTGTTGATGGATTGACCCCTCGTGGCCCAGTTGAAGCTCCATCAATCCTTCCAGCAAGCCAATCGCTTGACATGCTTTGATTTGTGAAACTGGGTCCAATAGCACCAGTGGGCATGGTTTGAAGAGGATGGGCAGTGGAACTAGCAGGCATAGCTTGAGTTTGACTAACAACACTACCTTCGGTAGAAAACTCTGGAGCAGCAATACCTTGTGGAAGACGGGGTGCAGTAACAGCTAGCATGGTGTGTGGGGGTCTCATTGGTGGATTTTGTTGAGAAGAAAAATACTGAGCTCCCGGTCCTCTGAACCCAAGATTTGGAGAGGCTGTTGGCACAGCTGCACCCATCTGGGGAGCAGATGTGGCAAGAAAATTAATTTGTGGTGCAGGAATTTTTGCTGCAGCAGGACCATATAATGCTGCTTTGACAATTTCTGGTGTTAATTCACGCCTTTGTGCTACAGTCACAAACTTGAGAGCTTTAATAAATTCTTGCTTACTAAGGAAGTCACTATGGCTCTGATCGACATGCATCCATATCTGCAGTCATAGGATAATTTGGTAAGAATGAACCCCGTAACATCAAATGCCTTGATCAACTAAGTGCACACACACACTAAGAAAAAGATGTACAAATGAACTAAGTATCCAACAAGACATACCTCCCAATGGGTACCCAATGACGTAAGAAAACTACATATAATCAACCAATACGCAAAGCCACTTAATAACTTTTGCTCTAGGAAAAACCTGTGTCTTAATGTAGTGTCATATTACCATATATTGTCATCATTCAAATCACTTTATCATATATGACAATGTTGAGTGGTCAGTTTAAAGGATGCAATTGATCGATTTATGATTTTGAAAATCATGAATCGAAGCAATTGAAAATTTTGAAAATTACCCAACATGATAATTTTTTTACAAAATGTATTGTTCCATTTTATAAATAAATCGATTTTTTTTAAATAAATCAATTCATTTTACAAGTTACTCTTTTCCTATTTAAAATCTAAAAAGAATAATAAAAAAAAAAAACCTAAAACAATTGGTCGATTTATTTTTATTTTTACTTATTTAATCAATTAATTCCATTTTCTTTAAATTGACTTATAATCAAATTAATCGAAACACACCGATTACTCACCTCTATCGGTTTATTCTTAGAAAGCCTATAGTTGAAGTTAATGGCAACCGCATTGCAAAGGCCACCGCTTTTACACTCACGATTCTGCTGTTGGTTACAACGACTCTCCATTTCTTGAAATCGATAACTAATTCTCATTTTATACACAATATAACAGCAATGTATATGAAAGAACTACATTGATGCATTTGTGTATTTATTTTTGGGTAGAAATTAAATTTTGCATTTTACTTTTGTTATTCCTATGTTTTGGAGGTAGATGGAGAAAAAGTATTGTTAAAAATTAGTTAGGAAATAGGTTTTCTTATATATGATGCACTAACACACCCAAAATTGCTTTTATATTTTATGCATTTTAGATAAAATTATGAAATAAAACAATTATTTTATCTATACTATTATGTTAAAATTAAAGTTATTGCATTGAATATATGTTGCGAGTTAATTATATATTAATTTAATTAATAAATTTATTTAAACATAAATTATAATTACAACAATAAAATGCAGGCAATGATATTTATAATTTTTTTATTTACTTATCGATCAGTCCAATTAAGGAGATTTTAACATTGAAATACCTGATTTTGGAATTGAACAAGTATTAAAAAAAAAAAAAAAAAAGGTTTGCCCATGCTATTCACTTTAGTTTATGGTGCACCCAAAATCTATCGAATATCAATCATTTATATCCAGGCCCTGAAATGAATCATACAAGTAAATGGATTGGACTCGGATTGAGGGGGAACGGCCCATTAAATCTCAATCATTTATATCAGGATCGTGGGGCAGGAATTTGCCTATTTAGCCCAATAAACAATCCACGCTGGCATACACGTCAATAAAAAGGAAAAGGGGTAAAGAGAACCACCGTCTGTAGTGAGAGAGAAGAAGCACAAAGGAAACACAAAGGGAGAGAGAGAGAGAGAGAGGTGAATCTCGAAGGAACAAGCTTAGGAGTCACGCAGCCCATAATATAAAAGTGCACAGATCGATGACGTGGCATGAAATTTCCAAATCCCGCCTAAACCCTCCAATTTTCATTTCGTGCGCAATTGAATTTCAATTTGCCCCAACTTAATATCTCCCCCTTTCGGCATCTCAAATCTTACACATCTCTCTCGCTCCCCTTCCTATTTTCCCTTTCTCTCTCTCAACCCTAGCCCTAGCTCGGCGACCAGGTATTTCCGTTCGATTTCCATCGCTTTTCCGCGAATTTTCATGTTTTTCTATCAATTTCTTATTTATTTTTCACTGATCTGCGATTTCAGTTGCAGGATTCAACATGAAGGGAGGTAAATCCAAGTCGGATGCTAAGAGCTCCAAGTAAGCTTTTCTCCTATTTTCTCTTCCTTTTTCTTTTGCTTCTTCAGGTCACGTGTTATGAGATCTCAGATCCAAATGAGGATTTACGTTTCCTGTTATTTGATTTTATTTTGTGATTCATTGATAGGCTTTCCGTGAATAAGAAACCAACTACGAAAGGTGGAAGGAAATCAACGAAGGCAGCTAAGGATCCAAACAAGCCAAAGAGGCCTGCCAGTGCCTTCTTCGTTTTCATGTAATCATTCGCGAATCTCTCCTGTATTTGTCGGTTTTCTTTAATTTTTTGGTTTGCTCCGTGGAAAACTCTGGCGTTTATATTCTTCGTAAAAACCACAATTGAAGAGGTGAATTGAACGATTCTTCTTATGGTCAAAGAAAAATTCATCTTCGAGGAATGATTTTGATGATTTACTTTCATATTTCATCTAATTCGTTAATGCTGATTTCGTGGTTTAAGGGAGGAGTTCCGTGAGCAGTACAAGAAGGATCACCCTAAAAACAAATCCGTTGCTGCTGTACGTATGATCAATAACTTTTGTTGTTTGTTGACAGGTTCCTTTAGTTTAATTTAATTTTGTTCTTTTTATATATTTTTTGGGGTTAAATTCAGGTTGGCAAAGCTGGTGGAGATAAATGGAAGAGCATGTCTGAAACTGTAAGTGTTTTGCTATTTTCAATTTTAAGAATCCTTTAAAAATATATGCAAATATGTCTTCTGATTAATTTCAAAATAAATGAATTTAGGAAAAACGACCTTATGTTGAAAAGGCAGAGAAGCGAAAGGCTGAGTATGAAAAGAACATGAAAGCCTACAATAAGAGACAGGTAATTTACTTTATTTTTTAAAATTAATCATTTGTTAAATTCTTTATTTAATAAGCAAAAAGTTTCTGTTTGGTTTGTCAATAGGTTATGAGCTTTTTTGATTAATTTCAGGCTGAGGGTCCCAAAGATGATGATATGGAGTCTGAGAAGTCTGTGTCTGAGGTGAATGATGATGATGACGGCGACGATGAAGAAGGCAGCGGAGAGGTGAGTTGAAGTTTGTTTCAGTTTTGTGTTGTTACTGATCTTGTGGGTTAGTTTTGACCTTATTGAATGGGTTTTCTCCCTTTTTTTTTTTTTTTAATGCAGGAAGATGATGATGAGTAGGAAGATCCAGGGAAGATAGAATAATCAACTTAGGCTGTCATAGTGTTTGATCATCTTATGTTAATGCTTTTGATGTTTACATGTTATTCTTTTAGATGCACAAGTCATCTAAAGGGAAAATGTACCTCTGATTCCTGTTGGTTTCTTTTGACCTTCAGAAATTAATAGTTTAGATGGGAGCTTTGTTGTTATATGTACTTTTCATTTGAAGTTGAATGGCTTAGGTAAATCCTTTGAAGTGAATATAGTCCTCTTCTATAACTTGTTATCCTAATATGCACGTTGTTGTACTTTTGCTGTTTGCTGCAATGCTTCTCAGCTTCCAGTTTATGCATTGTTGTGACGTATATGCTTTGAAAAATTCCTTAGATGTAATTCGTTCTGTTAGTGCTTTTGATGGCTGTTTACTTTGGTGTCTCGATTTAATAGTCATTTTGTTTGTAAGTCTAGTTGTTGATTACTAGTTTTCACAATGGCTAGAGGTTTATGACTGTTCACTTTTTATTGGTTTAGGTGATTAATGAATTTTTTTTTTTTTGGGAGGGGTTATAATTCTGAAATGTGTTTTTGACAATTTATTTGTTTATCTTTATGTTTTATGATTGACGGTTTAGGTGATTATGTTGAATTTTTTATATTTGGATTAGAATTTGTTCGTAAGTCCCAAGTTATACTTGGTTAAAAAGATGATATATAAAAGAAGAATTCTCAATTAGCAAGATCTATCTTACGGGGGTAACGGGACAATGTGGCGTTGAAAAAATGGGTGATGAGGCTAATGGAAAGCTCATTTTCTCTGTCTTTAGTCAGTAGTAAATTATCTAACAGAATATTATTTTAAGTGGGTTTAAAGCGCAAAAGGTCTGAAATTGGGAATTTAGTAATTGAACGTCCTTAACGCAAATGGTGAAAATTTTCATTAGTTTTAAACTACGCATTTTTCCTATATTTAAGGAAACATGCATCCTACTACTTTTTTCTTTAAAAAAAAAAATGTAAATAAATAAATTAATATATATGACAATATATATCTTCAACGGTAACTATTCTATTATGCGATATTTGAGTGTTGCAAAATTATTATATTAAAATTTGTAATACTTCTAGTATAACATAAATAAGAATCTTTTGAAACCTCTTATCTCAAACATCAAGTTGTGTTTTTATTTTTTTAAAATTCTAATGTAGATCCGATTGGCATAAGACGGTACCATTCAATTAATAATTAAGCCTACATTAAACTTTCATAAGTTAATTATTGAATTTATTTTTTCCTCACTTGTTCTTCTTACCTGTTGATTGGAGAAAGAATTTTCCTTTTGTTATTAAAATTAAGTTGAGAAAATGAAACAGAAAAAAAAAAAAAAAAAAAACAAGTCACACTCATGGACACAAGCAAATTCGTGTCACGTGTCGATCACGTGAGAGTTGGGCACATCCATACACTTCACGTGACTTTCCATCCACGCTGGCACCCTGTCCCCGCGACTCGCACGTACCGACCCCATCCACTATACTCCTTTTAAAAAAACTAAAACAACTAATAAAGAAAAGAAAAATCGAGGGCTCTTTAGAGGAAAAAAAAAAAAAAGCAATGGGAGGTGAGATAGCAGCAGAGACAATGACGAGGAAGAAGAAGAAGAAGGGAAGACCCTCTCTCTTAGAACTCCAAAAACGATCTCTCAAACAACAACAGCAGGAGCAGCAATCGCTTCAACAAAAAACCCCTAATCTCATAAACCCTAATTTTTCTATTAATTCGAACCGCCGATCCACTCGCCGGAACCCGAATCTAGACGGAGTCTCCCCACTGCCCGACTGGATTGCCGGAGGAGACGATGATGACGACGAGCGCCGACAGAAGAAGCATAAGCTATTGCTTGGCCTCAATTCTTCTCGTAATCATCAGCATTATCCGATTCCTTCGGCGCCAGACTCGGCCTCCTACGGATCCGATTCGAATGCGGATGGTGACGATCGCGAGGCATCCCTCAAGCATCGCAAACTTACTACCCTCCGTTCTGGATCTGATCAAATGGTGATTAATTATCCATTAATATATATATATATATATATATATATCTTTGAGCGTCGAAATAGATTTTCGTGGGTTTTTGGAAGTGACGTTTTTTAAATAGAAACAGAAAAAATTTTCTTGCTTTGTTTGGATATTTATTTTATTTCTTTTTTGAAATTGAACTTTTGGATTTCGCGCGTCAATTGAATTTTTGTGATTGGATCGGAGATGAATGGACGAGTTTGACTAAGTCATGTGCTTTTTTTGGGGGGGTTGTTGGATATTTATTTTAACTTTTGATTTTTGGAAAACTCGAAATTGTGTTGAACACAGTATTTCTTTCTTTATTTCCTAAATTACGAATTTCCCATTATTATTTTATTCATTATTGTCTTGTATTTAATCTGACCTTTATTTATTTGCAAAATAATAGATGCACAGACGATTATGTCTGAAAAGCTTCAATTTGTCTTTTCGTTTCTTTTCTTTTCTTTAATAATAATAATTCGAAGGTTTTTTTTTTTTTCCTTCTCTTGCGCTTGCTTTCCATTGTTGTACTTTTCCACACTGATTGTTCTAACCAAGGCAAATATCTCTATCTGTAGTTTTTATTTTGGGGGTTAAATAAATATATATGTTTGTAATCGATAAGAGAGTTTTTCTTGTTTGCAGGGGGAAAAGGTGTCGAAAGCGACAGACACTCTTCATGGTATAAGTCAATCTCGGTTTTCATGAAAAGGCATTTCTGGGAATTCTTAAAAGAAGCGTTCGTTTTTGGTAATTGAAATTAAATTAAATTTATGTCATTTTTATGTGGACAGGGTCACCGCTGGAGTCTGGCCCCACTACACCTTTGCCAGACAAAAAGTTGTTGGTGTTCATTCTTGACAGGCTTCAAAAGTATTTGTTATTTTTGGTTCATTCGATTTTTCCTTTTTTTAAATCCTATTTTCTTTTTTGTTGGGGTTTGATTGTTTTTGCTTAATCTACCTGCAGGAAGGACACTTACGGGGTTTTCTCTGAGCCAGTGGATCCCGAAGAGGTGCATTTTCTGTTTCGTTCATGTATAAATGTCGATTACTGAAAACTGAAATCCCAGTTCATGAGATAATGTTGGATTGATCTTAATACAGCTTCCTGATTACCATGACATTATTGCACACCCAATGGACTTTTTGACAATCAGGAAAAAACTTGATGGGGGAGCTTATACAACCTTGGAACAATTTGAGGTATGTTTTTCAAGCCTCTTCTTTGCTAATATGGATACAATGCTCATCTGTCTGTCTACCCTGGGACAAAGTGGACAGGACAGGACAGGGCGATTAAGTTGTTTGACTGCATTACCTTCGATGATGGTGATTAAGTTTCTGTTGATATTTTCTGGATTTTTCCTGTTGATTTTGTGTGTTTTTATAGAAATATTGTATACACCAAGTCAAGTTTTTGCTGCCAATCAAGCAAGTCCTTGTAGAATAGGGAGACATGATATGTCTTTTGAGATTACTGTAGTGATGTTGTCTTGTTGACTATGATGTTTTAGTTCTTAATATGAAGTCCAGTTGTTTTAATCATTGTGGGGCAGCATTTTGGTCTGTTAAGGCTGAAAGACTCTTTAATTTGGTTAGAGAAGAGGGATCCTTGTGCTATTTGCCTTTATTTATTTATTTTTTAAAGTTTTTATAATATAGAAGGTAATTGGTGCTGCCAATAATTTGCCCATGATTTGTAGAATTTTCATTGCATAGCTTGTTTTGTTTAGTTTGAGATCGTAACAGCATATTCTTTTACTGGCAGACAGCTTTATATGCTGTGAGTTGCTTTTTGAGGTTAACTGCGAAGATAAAGATCCTAATGAAATTATTTTTAAGTCCATATGAGTGCTTTGGAATTGTCCAGTGAGGATAGTCTTTAGATTTCATTTCACAAACATTGTAATAACAAAACTTTGTTTTAGGGGATTTAGTTTCCTCAATATGCTTTTCTCAGAGGATACTTGATGTTGCTAGAACTGGAATTGAAACTTGAGACTTTGATTCATGCAGAAAGACGTTTTTTTGATATGCTCAAATGCAATGCAGTATAATTCACCAGATACAATTTACTTTCGACAGGTTTGGCTAGGTCTCAATTTGCATTAATTTTCTTGATTTGGTACTTTGATTTCTGTTATTTTAAACATCTGGACTGGTTGGTTAGGCACGATCAATGCAAGAGCTGGCTAAAAAGGACTTTGAGAATTTGAGGCAAGATAGTGATGAAGGTGAACCACAACCGAAAGTCGTGAGGAGAGGGAGGCCACCTGGAAAGAGCTTCAAAAAGTCATTGGAGTCGTCATCTTTTGACCGTGTTGGTTCTGAGTTTTTATCAGATGCAACTCTAGCCAGTGGACCAGATGCTTCAAGCCTTTCAAATACTTACAATTTGAGGAAGGTACCTGGTTTACACAAGCTCCGGCCTACTGATACATTAATCAGGCCCTCCTGGGTTTCTCATAGCAATGAAAATTATGCCAGTTGGTCATCTGAATGGGAGAATGAATTTCCAGGTTTAGTATTTAATCGTTCGACTTTTTGTATATATCCTTTATTCTTTACTTTTTAAAAGTAAAATCTTAGTTTGAACATATATTTTTATGTATATTGAGCTATTTTTCTCTCACTTTGCAGCTTCTGTTGTGAAGGCTGTGATGAAGTATGGGAAGAAACATTTTGCGGTAGATGAGAACAGGCGTGACACCTACAACCATTCATTGACTTCTGGACCTGAGCAGCCTATCTTTTCCACCTTGGATGGAGAATTGAAGCAACTAATTCCGGTGAGTTTTATGTGTGTATACTGCAATAATGGTTGTTAATGCATTAGTTAAAATATTAATTTAATGAGTTGTATAGATGGAATGTCTGATTAACCTTAAATTCAATCACAGATAAAGCAATCCTAAATTTACATTTGTGTAAAATAAATTGTACAAAAGATTCTGGGGTAAAAATAGCTAGATTTGTGCTGGTAAATTTGACCCTATTATATGTTTATATATCTAGCCAAAAGGGTGTTTGAATATTCTGACGTACCATTATTGATTATAAAGAAAAGAAGAAAACAATCCAGATCATGAGCAGAATAGAATGCTCCATCCCTTATACGATCATGTCTATCTCTATGTCAATTGTAAAGTTTTACCCATTGATAAGTGGTAACCTTTGTTCCCCTTTTCCATTGTGTATCAGGTTGGTTTGAGTGCAGAAAATGGTTATGCTACAAGCTTGGCACGTTTTGCTTCAGATCTTGGACCTGTCGTTTGGAAAATCACTTCAAGGGAAATTGAAAGTGTTTTGCCTAGCGGACTGAAGTTTGGTCCTGGCTGGGTAGGAGAAAACTGGACGATTGAGCAGCCGCAATTTTCGTTTTGTGAAAAGCAGAGATCTTCAAATTCTTCATTTGATGACCATTCTAGCAGACTTTTATCTCCAGCTACTTGTGGTTCAAACTCAATTGCTGCAGGTAGATTTCGTTTGCTAGGTAAAGAAGGCACAGAAACTGTCAGAGGACTAAGTTCTGAAAATGACTTGATTTCTGCACATTCTTATCAGTTTCAACAAAGACAATTGCTGCACTCGGGTATCAATGGTTCTATCGGTGGGTTTGGGATTGATTTTTCCCCTCCAATGGGATTAATAACACAGCCTGTAAATTCCTTGACTGAAAAGACTTCAGTGCCTTCTCAATCACATGGCATGGTTTCAGGTAGCAGCTCCACCATGCGCCCAATGCCTGGAAGTGATTTTCTTCCACAAGAGACCAAGGTTGTTGATAGTTCAATTGCTTTACATTCTGGAAAAGAAATGGCTGTAGGCCCTGACCTGGTGTCCCGTGCAGCCACTAATGTTGGGCTTCAGCAGAAATCCAATAACAAACAAGATTTCATTCCATTTCCCCCTGATCTTAATGTGAGCTTCCTGGCACCCGGTTCACCGAGTTCTAGTGTGCCAATTGGTTCCCCCCAGCACCCAGGTTTAGCATTGCAACTCTGATAATTGGCAGTATTATTTCCATATGATTTGACACAAGCTAATTGCGGTATTAGGTGTGAAAAAGATTGAGCCGAATTCACCACATTCTTCATTGAAAGGGTTTCATTGAGTAGCAACTCCTCAAGAAGTCATAAGATCAGATCGTAGGGAAGATTTTGTATAGATTGATATATAAAAAATTTTTTTTATAGAGTTAAAAAAAAAAAAAAACAGATTTGTATGTCACATCTGACTTGTTGAGATAGTTGAGTACTTGAGTTGTTCAGTTGAAAACAAGTAGATGAATATAATAGCTCAAACGGAGAGTCGAGCAGACTATTAACCGTTGACATGATACTATTTGTTTATTATAATTTTATATTTTTCGAGGATGTATGTGAATGAGAGGTTAATTGGGGGCGTTTAAGTTGCAGGCTTCAAAGGATAATATTGTACATAGAAAAGGGATTGTGATGATTCTTCTGTCTAGATTGTAATTAATGTGTTATGACTTTTGATTTTATACTTTTTTACCGATATATATATATATTATATAAATTATATTACCCTCTAATTCAAAGTCAAGTCTGTTAAATAACAAATGTTAATGCCAAATAAGTGCTGAAGTCATCTGCAGTTTGACAATAACAAGCAGTGGAAATGCACTTCACATTTGTTATTGATTTATTTTATACATAAATGGTGGACAACAAAACAAAAGTACATCTAATATAATCTAATCTAATCCAAGAGCAACAGTTTGAAGGAAGCGTCTCCACCGGTTAAAACTTTAAAAACTAGTGATTAGAAATGGACCATTAATTTTAATCTCCGACTAAATTTATAACCCAAAAACGAAACGAGAAAAACCAAAATCCAACTGAGACCCAATAAGACCTTGGGCCTTTTTCTGCTGAGAAATAATGTTGGGCCTTAATAGCTAATATTTGATTTTTTAAAACAGCACATGTACCAACACTCATTTCGTCTCATATAGAACAAAACATTTTTCTTTTGCTAGAATTAAGAGTCCGTCCATTCGTGAAAATGATGAATGGAACGACAGACAAAAAGTCAAAAACCATTCCGCCACAATTGCCCTGCTCCGGAAGCAAATGGGTTGGACTTTTTGAACTTTGGAGAGTTATTGGTTCTTTCGATTTGTTACTCTCTTGCTCTAGCTTTAGGCTTTGGCGCATAGGTTTTAGGGTTTGTTTGGCACCGTTCGATCCGCCGCTTCATAATGATATCCTAATGATCCGTCGTCTTTGAAGCATTTTTTTTAATAAATGCACTTTTATTTTTCAGTTTTAGGGGAAGAGACCTTAGACTTTGTTTTTTTTCTTTAATATCAGTAGACTTTATGCGTAGTTTCATTAATTAATTATTTTAATTTGTCAAAGGAAGAAAATGACAAAGAAAGCTCCATTAACGGTGCTAAATAGGAGTTCATTGGATCTGAAAAAGTAGTAATGTGAAATATATTTAAATTTGTATTAATGTTCAAAACTAAAAGGAGCAAATTTCCAATGCCGAGTTTGAGTGAAATTGGAAACTAAGACATGGAGACATTTTCGTCTCATTTAGAAACATCACATGCCAATGATGCACTTTTTTCTAACGTGAGTTTTGAGTTTGTGAAGTTCCTAAAACTCACAAATCCAACCCACATCCAGACAGGGACAATCTGCTTCTTCCAAACCCCACAAAATGCTCCGTTTAATTTGTTCCAAAATTGTCGTTTAAGCGGTCAAAACACGAACCCAAAAACAAAACTAGTAAAATAATAATAATAATAATAATAATAATAATCTGTGGACTAATTCATAAAACTAAAAGCTGATTGAAATTTGATTAAGCCTAAGGAGTCGGCCCATCACGCTGGATCCAAGTGGACCCCGGTGGTTGAGCGAATCGGGGCCGTTACCTTATTGCGAAGCGCGTATCCTCCATAAAACGGTCGGTCCCACACGGGTAATGAACTGGGATCAGTTCATCTCAGTGTCAAAAGCCGTAAGAAGGGGAGGCGACGAAGGGCAGAACGGTAAAAGAAAAGCAGCCAGCAACGTTTAAATGTGGAAAGAGAAGAGGAGAAAGAGCGAAGGATGGAGAGCGACCTGCAACAATCAAGCAGCAATATTAATGCCAAAATAATTCATAAAAACCAAACAACAACTGGCCCACTCTCTATCTCTCTCCAACCCATTTTCGTTTCTTTTCTACGAAACAAAATTAAAATTAAAGAAGCAAACAAAAAGGCAGGGCGACCTCATTAGTCATTGTTGTTTGCCGTTAAATCTGGCGATTAATTTCTCTCTCTCTCTCACTCACTCACTCACTAAATTTGGCACTTTAATCTCTCCTTTACCCTTCCCATTGTTCTAATCTCTTTCTTCTTTTCTCTTTGTAAAGCTGTACGAGTTGTAATTTTCTTTTTCCTTTACTAAAATTTTTATTTGGTTAACTTTCTTGATTTGCAAGATATTTTTTTATTATCGGTTGAACTTTCGGGGTTAGTTTTTTTTGGTCCGTTTTATACAGAGATTTCAGTTATTGCGGCGCGTTTTGCTGATTAGGATCTGAAAGACATTAGGCTGCGCAAAGTGCTGGTTGTTTGTTTGGACAGAAGAGGAGAGTTTCTTCTCTCTTCTTTCCTCTGCTGTTAGGGTTAGGATTCGTTTTTTTTTTTTTTTTTTCTTTTACATGTAGATAGGTGGATTTGGTTTAAGAAAAGGAACAATGGAAGATTTTGGTTGATAAATTATAATTAGCGTTGTTTGGGAGTGTTCAAATTTGGTTGTTTAATTGCAATAATTAAGCAGAAAGAGGATGAATTGTTTTCCTTGCTTAAATCCTCCTGCTAAGGACATAAGAATCGACATTGACAATGGAATTCGAACTAATTCACGCCATTCCGCTGATTCCTCAGGTTCTTTTTTATTTTTCCCGCTTCTCATTTTTTTCTTTTTTTATACTTTTGTACAATTTGCATATCTGTTAAATTCTTCTTCTTTTTTCTTGGTTTTTTATTTTAACTAGCTTCCGGCGCTAAGAGAGGAAAGACAAGTCTAGACGGTAAAGCTAAGGATTTTGATACCAAATTTCGTAGAAAGTTTTGATTTTATTTTATTTTTTACTCCGGATTTGATTATCTCGGCCGGTGCTAATCCTTACCCATTATTATTTATTATTTAAAAAAAAAATTGGTACAGAGCATAAGAAAGGAAGTGATCAAAGAAAAGGCTCCGAAGGCAGTGGGGCACGTAGTTTCACATTTCGAGAGTTGGCAACAGCAACTAGGAATTTTAGAGAAACCGATTTGCTGGGGGAAGGAGGATTTGGAAGAGTTTTCAAAGGTCGATTGGAAACAGGGGAGGCAAGTTGCTCCCTGCTTTTCACTTTTCTCTATCTTTGTCTGCCTTTATTATTTAAATTGTATAAAATTCACATTATATATATGTGTATATATATTTGGGCATATTCCCAAATCTGTTTTTCATCTTTTAAAATTGACTTGGATCATTTGACTTTTGTAACCAGATTGTTGCGGTTAAACAACTTAATCATGATGGTCTTCAAGGCTATCAGGAATTCATTGTCGAGGTTCTTATGCTCAGCCTATTACACCATGTTAATCTGGTCACCTTGATTGGCTACTGCACCGCTGGAGATCAGAGGCTCTTGGTTTATGAATATATGCCAATGGGCAGTTTGGAAGATCATCTTTTTGGTAATTTCTATTAAGTGCAGAATTCTATTTAAATATGTAAACCTTTTACTTCCACATTATCTATTGTTTCTTGTTTCCTTTCATAGTATCCCTCGTTATGTTAGTAGACTTTTCGCTTTACTACATATCCTTAGGGCATCCTTTATTTATTTAATAATACAAACTTCTAGTTTCCAGGTAAGGTTTTTGCTGTTGATCTTAGAATCTAATTAACTAATAATTTTTGCTTACCTGATTTCTCGCATAGTTCTTGGCATTAGGTATTTTTTTAGTTGTAATATTGGCCATAATTTTTGTTTAGATATATTAAGGACTACCAATTTCGATACTTATTCTTGAAACAAGATTCCACAACATCTAAAGCTGGTATAATAGCCTTGGAATTTGTGCTTTGCACGGCTGTGCACCAATCAATCATCATTAAATGAGCTGATAAATTATGTGTATTTGCTTGTTGGAGTGGTGTTCATTTTCCCTGTTAAATATTAGTAGCACTTACAAATGTAAATATCTAAAATTTGGCACCAAGTGGGATGTATTTCACCTTGTTTTATCCCAATTTATTCTCAGTTGGATGCTTGGCCGTGTACCACTTTATTCTTGTGATTTCATGTAGTGTTAATCAGACCATTCTCTTATGCAAAGTACTGTTCAGATGCTTATGTTTGAAAATTTACTGTGCTGTAATCCTCCAAACGTTTTTTTACAGATGCTAGTTTTCTTTTGTTGTATTGTGTGCTGAACTTTAACAAGCCTCTGTTGTTTACCACTTTAGATTTCATCTTACATACGTAGGTTTTTAATGATTCCAGACAGTCAATTGAGAGTCACTATGTTAGTCTAAGAAAAAATTGAATGGTTTTACTTTGGTACCTAATAATCATTCCTGTGAATGTTTTAACTATTCACCATATCTCATGTGCCACCAATCGAATATGTTTTCAGATCTAGAACCTGGTCAAGAGCCTCTGAGTTGGAATAAACGTATAAAAATTGCTGTTGGTGCTGCGCGAGGAATCGAATATCTACATTGCAAGGCCAATCCTCCCGTCATTTATCGTGACTTGAAGTCTGCAAATATTTTGCTGGATAATGATTTCAACCCAAAACTCTCAGATTTTGGCCTAGCAAAATTGGGCCCTGTGGGTGACAATACTCATGTTTCAACCAGGGTGATGGGAACATATGGATATTGTGCGCCTGAATATGCCATGAGTGGCAAATTAACTCTAAAGTCTGATGTATATAGTTTTGGTGTGGTGCTATTGGAGTTGATAACGGGAAGGAAGGCAATAGATACTAATAAGAAGCATGGAGAGCAGAACTTGGTTTCATGGGTAAGTTAACATTTTATTTTTTTCTGTTTTTCCCTTTTTGTGTTCTACTGGTGTGATTCAGTTTGACTTCTTTCCTTTCTTTTTCACCTCCCTCTCTTTCACACGAAGAATCTGTTTCTCATAGTTGTGCTTTTCCAACATGGGCTTCGCTTGGCTATTTTTTTAAGTTCTCTCTCTGCTATATAATTTATATGATTTGCTGGTTTGAAGTGATTGTATTGCTTTTTTTTCCTTTAATCAGAATTTGCTGGCAGCATCCCTTTAGACCTGTAGAATATCTTCAGTCTTTAATAATTAAAAATGAGTAGTGGAATTTATATTCTATCTCTAAGTTCTGATGTCTTCTTTTTCTTTATTCCTTTTGTGTTGCAGTCCCATCCGTTATTAAAAGACCAGAAGAAGTATGGCCTACTGGTTGATCCTCTAATTCGAGGATGTTATCCTCGCCGTTGCTTGAACTATGCAATTGCAATTACTGCTATGTGTCTCAATGAAGAAGCCAACTTTCGCCCACTAATTGGTGATATTGTTGTCGCACTTGAATATTTGGCTTCTCAGAGTCAGAACTGGAGCCCTGAATCACGTAATATTCAGGTCCACAATGCCTCACAATCCTCACCGATGCAACCAGAGAAAGGTCCTCTTCGCCAATCTAATTCCAGAAAGGGTTTGACCTCTGTTTGAAGTTGTTTGATAAAAGCTTTCAAGAAACTTCAATCATGTAAGCTTCAACTCATTTTTGTTGGAGATTTTAGCATATTTTAGAATGCTCTCTTCTGCATTTTGCTTCTCTCCTTTCTCATTATTTTGATAATCAAACAAAACTCATTTTTATTCCTTTTCATATGGTCTTTTGAGCATCTATGTTTTGAAACATGGTAGAGAGCTGGTTTGATTCCTTTAGATCCTTTTTTTTTCTCTTTGATAAATGGTGCTTTAATAAGACAGACAAGAATGGTAGAATCAGCATTATTTTCTAATGTGGATTTTCCTATAAATTGCTGTAGGTTGTTACCTCCTCGAGCATGGAAGAAAGACTTGTCAAACTCCATATACACCAATAAATAAGTACATATGTGGGTATATTTATGCGTATATTTTGGGTGTTGAAAGATTGGCATTTCTTTCCTGAAAACATGGTAGAACTGCCAGAACTTTAGGTTATTGCATTGTGTGGGAAGCAACGTCAACGCTTGTCAACTTTGTTTAGAGCACTCTCATTGAATGCACAAAGTTTTCTCTGTACCGATATGAGTACGGTTTGGTAGAGGCTTCCATTAAATTTTTTTCCTTCTTAATGTAAATGGCAATATATATACATATTGTGGGGGCAATATGCAGTTATCATATTAATTCTATGTGTGTGTTTGTCTCCTACTCCCACCCCACTCACTTTGGAGTTTAGCCATTGAGATTCCGATCCAAGCAGGGAACATTATTTTGTCACATGGATGTTGTAGGGATATTCCTGTTCATCATAGTAGAATGGTACCGGCGTTGTCGAGTCATCTGCACTCGGAAAAGCCAAGGTGATAACTCTTGTCCAATCTTTGTTTCTGGTAAATAAAATGACCATCTACATTTAAGCATCAAAATTTTCATGTACAGGCACAAAGCAGGTAAAATTTTGAATATATTCTCATAGTTTTCATCATCAGAAGTTGTCATGCATCTGTATTAAGAATTCTATTGGAAATTACATCCTAATGCCATGTTCGTATGTTCTTTCAGAGGATTTTTCTTTTATCCTCTTCTTTAAAGTTCCTAAGAATGCGACGGAAAACATCACTAAAAGATGTTCCCTAATGGGGGTGGGCCGTGAGTAGATGCTTTCTGATTTGAAAACCAAGAAAATGTCACGTGAGATGTGAGCTTTGGTCCTTTGGGTTGTGGCTAGTGGCCACTGGCTACACGATACACATTTCAGATTCGGTGCTCTTTGACAATTGAAACTGTTAACAAAGTCGTTGCCGACCAACTTTAAGGGGTAGGGTCATTCCCAGCCAGTTCTGTTCTTAAGGGTCAAGACTAAACCCGGGAACAAATTAAGTGAATGGCTAGCGTGCATTTTGAAATGTTAAAATGCTAGCAAAATTGTAGACCTCAAAAAGGCTCATTGTACTAATAATCTCGGAAATATTGTCATTAATCCTTTTGGGAAGGAAGGATCGTTCGAATATCCTTATTTCAGATTCAATGCTAAAAAACAAACGTCATTTCTCCACTGTTCATACTTGCTAGTCACCCTCAAAACTTTCTTCTGTTACATCATCCATGATGAAGCAAAAACTATATTGCATAGGGTTCCCTTATTGTTACTTATAATTACAAAGAGTGGATCTTCTATGATTGAAGAGGCTTATGTTTTAGGTAGTCTTAAAGATAATTAAGAAATGGGGATAATTATAGTTATATTTATATGAGATGTCCCAATCCTCTATTTTTGCAGTCCCAAGTTCTAGTTTTGTTGTCAATTGTCATACTATGAAGAAATTCTATGGCATAGGTTGCCGTGCATTTTGCTCCTTACTTCAATAATTATTTCAACCATAGGTGTTGCAATTATCAACCGTTGGATGATGTCATAGTACACATGTAATTATAATCGCATTTTCTAACCCTTTTCTAACACTACTTGCTACTTGATTACCATAAATTTAAAGAGTAGTGACTTATGCTGTGATCTCTGAAATGTTACTAACAATATATGCTTATAAATTTCGCATGAGATATCATCGTTCGCATTCCTTTATAACTCCAAACTAAATGCCGATGGATGGACTAAAGAAGGAGAGACGTTTAAGTATTGCCCACAAACTATATAATTAAATAGTTTGAATAGTACGTACCTGTGAAAATGAGGAGGAAAAAAGAAACAAAGAAAACACTTTAATAAAAGCCTTGTTCACATATACATTTCAAGTTTTCAACCTTGGCTGGCTCACCAGCAGAGGAGATGAATTTTATGTAGCAATTTGATGATAATTCTAGTATTAGAGACAGTTATGATTTAGCTAGTATTTGAGTCTTTTTAAGCATCGGAATTACTTCTTTTTACAATAATTAATCCATTATAATTAATTACCACGTACTTAGAATTTAATTTACTGCATGATACTAGTTAATAAATTAATACTGCTAAAAAAAAAAAAAAGTTAACAAAGCTGGAATTAGTCTATTGAGACCGGGTCATGGACTCATGGGTGGTGGATACCGTGTCATCTCCCAAGTGTTCCTTTCTTGCTTACTCGTATGAAAAGGTATGTTAACTTATTGCTACCCTCCTTTTCTCTTGTTAATTGATTGCAGCTGTTAATAAGAAAAAGGGGCAACCATTTTTGGGGAAAAGATCATCATCATCAAAGGATCGTTCCTTTGTTGATTACTTGCCTTTTCGGCTAAATGCCTTAGTGTCATGGTTAAGGTCCATTGGCAGTTTTTTTCTTCATCAATCGCAAAATAAGTTAGTTTAATCATTGGGCCATTGCCAGAAATGGTATGTAAAATTGAACCATGTAATGCAATTATGCACACTCACATGACTTGACACTTTTAAGCCATTTATAAATCTCTTAACATGGTGTTCAAACTTTTACTAATATATTGTAAGTACCGTTTTTTCTTTTTTCTTTTTCTGTCTGAAGCTTGCCTTGTCACATCAGAACTTCTCTTCGACGACCTAAGCAATGGACTGATCCCAAGTGATTCACGTTTTAAAGAATACAGACGTACAACCTCCTGCGGTCTTGTATACTTGTGGAGTTATATGTATGAAAAAACGACTCTCTTTCTTAAACTTTATATGATCCCTGTCCCTGGGCCTGGAATAACAGTGAGATTATATATAATATATATATATATATATTATCATAAAATTGGACGCTTACTTGAGCAAAATTAATCATCATCATCATCATCATGTCATGTCATGTCATGTCAAGGTATGAAAACAAAATTCATTTTTCACACATAAATCTGCAAGATGAATGAAGCAATGATAGGGCCCCTGAAGCTCAAGGCTTTGGGGAAACTACCGTTGACTTTCTCGTTGCTCATTTCTCTTCATTTTCTATATTATTGTTCAAGAATCTTAATTTATGATTAAAAAAAAAAAAAAAGAAAATCGGCTTTTGTTCCATAGTTTACACTTTCTTGGCTGCAATTATTTAGCACATCTTAAGAGCAAGAAAAGAGTATATAAAGGGAGCTGAGCCAATTAAAATTAATTGAATTGAAAAAGTTTTAATATTTCATTTGTAAAATTTAAATTCAAACCTCATTATCAATAATTTATTTATAAACGATAAGTAAATCTAATATAAATTTTTTTAAACCTACAGTCTACCTAATCCTGAATTAAGAAAATCTTCCTCACCTTAAATTTTTTCTCATAAAAAAAGAGGTTGAAACGAGAATGAGGAGAAGCGACACAAACAAGAGAGAAGAGAAAGGATCATTTATTTGAAAGAAAAACAAGGAAAAAGTCCAAACAGCAAGTCTCTATTACTAATTTTCTCCTCCAAGAGACGAGTTGGTTGTTTCGTTGTTCTTTCTTCTCTTCTTCCCCGAACCAAGAAAAACTTTAAAAAAGTCAATATCACTATCTTCATATATCTAAATCCCCTATTCAATCCAAAACATGTCCAAAGTTCAAAAGGCAAGAGTCATCGGATATGGGTAACTGCTTTGGAACTCAGGTTGATCATCATAGCCAATGCACCACAAAGCCATCCAGCCCAGGTACGTATACCCTGAAATTTTCTTTGTAATTTCCAACAGGACCCCCCAATAATTTTCTTGTTTTATTGTCCTTTAAGAAACTTTTTCCTGTAGTTTCATTTTAATTTGTTTAGAGTCAGACAATTGGTAAGAGAATTAATACACAAGAGGTGAGAAACAATCAAATTTTCAATCGTATTTTTGTTGAAAAAACGATATTAAGTTCTTGCAGTTATATATATATATATATATATATATATACGTGTGTGTGTGTGTGTGCGTGTCTGAACTCATTTGTTTTCGTTTGTGATTGATTACAAACATATGCAGAAGAAACCAAAAAACTAAAAGACAGCAAACAAAATGGATTGCCGGCTACAAGAAACAAAGAGAGCGCTGAAGATAACGGGACTTTTAGGGAAGGAAGAAGCAAGGAGCAAGAAACAACGCCCGCAAGTGGAAAGATTGTCAGCACCACCTTAAAAATATTCACTCTAGCGGAACTTAAGGCTGCCACCAGAAATTTCAGGCCAGATACGGTGCTAGGGGAGGGAGGTTTTGGTAGAGTCTTCAAGGGTTGGGTTGATGAGAAAACCTACGATCCCTCAAAAGTCGGCGTTGGCATGGCTGTCGCCGTTAAGAAATCAAATCCAGATAGCTCTCAAGGGTTACAGGAGTGGCAGGTAATTAAACTTCTTTTGTATGTAATAACTCCTACCAACATTAAGCAAATTAATTTTATAGCATCATCTTGGGAATATTGTCTCAAAATTAGAAGTGTGTTTTTTTACCCAACTATACGGCGACGTATTATACCTTTCTATGATTATTTTCTGGCTACAGGAAATAAATTTTATAATTTGCCCTTCTTTTTCTTTGAGTTGACCTAAACAATATAACAATCCTAGAAGAATTTTCTTTGGAAGTTGTCTTGTACACGTGCCAAGATCACAAATCATATATGGATGGAGAACTATATATTGTTTCAGAAATAGGTAGTATATTAATTAACGTTAAATATTCCTGGAAATTCATGATCATGCATTTTACGTAATTAGAAAGGATTGTCAACAGTCGTCGTTTTGGTTGCATATATATATATATATATATATATATATATGTAGTCTCTTATGTAAATGAATCCACAGTGAAAGTTGATTTTGTAAGGTCAGGCAGAGGTTAAATTCTTGGGCAAGTTTTGCCATTCGAATCTCGTAAAGCTCTTGGGATACTGTTGGGAGGAGAATCAGTTCCTCCTTGTCTATGAATACATGCAAAAGGGGAGCTTGGAAAACCACCTCTTCAGAAGTACGTAATTTAAGTAACACATCATCACTTAAACTTGTTAGTTTGCGTTGAAATCTTGCTTCTTCTTTTTTATTTTGAGAGATTGGAGAGAAACTTAAGCTATTTTATTAACTCAATCAGTGCCAGCAGGAGCAGCAGAGCCTCTAACATGGGAAACGCGGCTTAAAATAGCCATCGGGGCTGCTCAAGGCTTGGCTTTTTTGCATACATCAGAGAAGAGTGTAATCTACAGGGACTTTAAAGCCTCCAATATTTTGCTGGATGAGGTAAAAGCCCCTCTCTATTTTTCATTGCTTTAGCTTTCAGAGAGTACTCATGTATCATACTCCCAGGCACCAGCATATTGTGCCTACGTAGTGTAGAGACTTCCTATTAAACAATTATTTGTTGCTTGATTGTGTTCCAATTTCGTTTTCCAGGCCTACAATGCAAAACTTTCAGACTTCGGGTTGGCAAAGTTGGGTCCAATCAATGGCAACTCCCATATCACCACACGGGTTATGGGCACTTATGGTTATGCAGCTCCAGAATATGTTGCCACAGGTACTTGGCAATCATAGCCATACATTTCTATTCAAACTCCTGAGTGTTGCCCCTATTTTGTCAAATAGCATGCAGTAGCACTGGTGTATTTTTTCTTTTGGGTAAATGGGGTCGAGCCCTTTTAGAAGATTCTGAGATAAATATGGTTCAAACTTCAAAACTCTGCCCACAAGGGTCCCCCACCCACCAGAATTATGAAATACACGAAAGCTGTACTTAAAGCTGAATTGTCTATTCGATTACTACAATTAAATTAGTGGGTTTTTTTCTCCACACTAACTTGAAAGTTTCTGAGTGGGTATAATTAATTAACCCATATTATAGATTTCCTTTTAGAAGTATCAATTTTCCGTTATGGAAGATGTCCTGATAAGAATTTACGATGAAGAAGAGGTAAAAGAACATGAAAGACTGACATAATATGCATAAAAATTTGTAGGTCATCTGTATGTTAAAAGTGATGTATATGGCTTCGGAGTCGTGCTGCTGGAGATGTTAACAGGTCTAAGGGCCCTGGATACAAATCGTCCCAGCGGTGAGCACAATTTGGTGGAATGGGCAAAACATTCACTGACTCAGAAGAGAAAGCTCAAGAAAATAATGGACCCAAGGCTACAATACCCTCTCAATGCCGCATTGCAAGCCGGTGAACTTATTTTAAAGTGTCTGGAATCTGATCCTAAAAATCGTCCATCCATGGAAGAGGTGCTGGAGACGTTACAAAAAATCAGTGCCATGGATGGAAAACCTAAAGAGAGTAAAGATAGCACATCGCAGCGAAAGGCTAAGGGCCAAGAGGTACATTCTAGGAAGGGTGGTGCCGGCAGTCGGAACACGAATGATAAAAGCTCCTCCACAGTTAGGTCACACCGATAACTATGGTACAGGAGATGTGCATGTGACATACATGTTTATAATGTTATTCCCACTCCTATCCTATAAGCTTAATTTGACAAAAATTTTTCGCTTATTATTATTATTATTATTATTTTAGTAACTCTTTTTGAACTCAGGCAGCTAAGAATATGTATAATACAATTGCAGGTGTTACTTGAGGCTTAGTTTTAAGCCAAAATCAAGAGCATGGAGTACTAATCACAATGACAAATTTCCTGCACTCAAGTCTCCAAGCAAATTATTCACTGTTAGTCAACTCACGTTCTTGTATTGGGCCTTATGCATCGGGATTTACTTATAACCAAAGAAAGTTCTGGGCTCGAAAACGTCATTGGTACAATTTGGGGGTTTGGCAATTCCCCATTATGCTTAACCAAAGTTTTCGAGTTTTATTCCTTGTAACTAAAGTTTTCTTGTTTTTATCTTCCCAAAATTTTCGTTATGGAGCGGGATTCTTTTTGTCTCTTATGTAGAAAAGGAAGCCAACTTTTTGGTGAAACACTTCCACTTGGTTTTTGCCACTTTGGAAACAACAAATGGAAGTCGGCTGTCGAAAGAAAAATTGCATATATATATATATATATATATATATATATATATATAAATCAAATTAAATTTTGAAACGACACCACCGAAAATGAATATGCTTCGTTTTCTTTTCATGGTTTGAGATAGATGCAAAGAATAAGCAATCAGAAGCAGAACAAAAGCTATATTTTGCAAGGATAATAATAATAATAATAATAACAATAATGAGACGGATATTTTGAAAAACTTAGCACGTAAGGATATCTCCGAAATAATTAAACTATTATCTTTTACTTTTATCTTAGGTAGATTGTTGTAAGATGTTATTTTGGATGTTGTAAGACCTAAAACTTATTATGCATAAGAAAAACAGCAAACAGCCACAACCCATCCGAAACGCTCACTCTGCCAAGGAAAGCGAGTTTTTTTTTTTTTTGAAGTACACAAAGGAAGACAAAGACTTACTCCCCCATCAAGAGGAGAGTAATAGTTTATTTGGAGTTCGACTGGAATAAGTCCCCACCCGAAATAGTTATTCCAGGCCTCCAAGCAAACGAGATAATAGCATTCCACCCACGATGGAATTCCTGGCGTTCCCTCCCTAGGCTAGGCTGTCACCCATTACCCATCATGGTCTAAAGTGAAACTTGGATGTCTCTATCATCACTATCCCCATAGCACTAGCAGTGTACACGAAAAAGAAAAAGAAAGCTAGCTTATAGACAACATATCAATTTCTTATAATTCATAGGATATCAAAAGAGAATCAAAATCTCTTCTTTATTACTATTCTTATTATATTATTCTTTTTTTACATAGCAGCTTTTAATTGCAACTCCAGTCAATGACTAAAAATACAGCAAATCTCAGCCAAAAAAGAAGAGATTCCAAATGCACCAACTTCAAGCACTCAGCCTATACTCAGTTAACAGAGACGTAGCTTTAAGATGGCTTTCATGGTATCGGATGAAACTTTTAAAATTAAAACCACCTTCGGCTCCAGTATCTATTTTGCCATGCGGAAAATAGTCATCTTCACTTCTCCGAATCCTGCCACAAGCACTCCTTTTATTTAACCTCTCTGCTAGGCAAAGAAAGATTGTTTCCTCCAGCACTTCATCCAACAGTGTTACTGTCACTGAGGAGCATTAAGATTTCTGCTCTCAAAAACTTTGCTTTACAGATTGTTGCCAAGATCTCTTTCTCATAACTTAAACAGCAAGATTAGAGCCAAATCCGAATCAATGAGAGAAAGCATTCATATCCGGTTGTAACTGTTGCTATTACAACTTTATATCACTAAGGACCACTGATTCAGGAAGACCGATCCAAATGATGATGAGAAACTTGCAATGAGAGTTTAATTGTGTTCCCCTGAGATGATCGACATACGTCAATACACTCCTCCAAATCCGCACCACAAGTTAATAAGACCCACTCAGAATCATCATCCAAGTACTTGAGATCGAATCTACTTATATCCTCTATATTAAATCGTCTTGTAATTTCATGCAATAAATCTTTAAACCGCCATTTTCTCTGCATGCGGAACCGTATCTTCTCATCTCCATATGTGACCTTTACCCTTTGAGCATCCAAATCTTGAGCAATTTGGCTAGTATTCTTGGATATAGGTTGAAGACTGTCAGAAATAAGCTGTTCCTTAAGAGATCTAAGGCTCTGGTATCTTGGGAACAAATTTGATCCTTCTTGACTTAAGACATGCAGCTCTGCCTCACTTCTGACCCTCTTCATCTCACCATCCCCAGAGCTCTTTCCAATTATAAGATCTTCATTACCAGAAATGTTAAATTTTGAAGGTAGATGTGTTCCACCGGAACAGCAATGACTTGAACTGGAACTCTGACTACATGAGGAGGAAGGTGAATTTGAAGTAGCAGCTTGGGACAGGAAATTAAAACCCTCAGGCTGTATGTTTGTTTGCTTTGCCTGATCATTCAGCCTTGAGGTCGATAATGTACTGTTTCCCAATAACTTTGGAGAGACCAGCTCTGAAAAGTTTGTATGGAAGGTACTAATATTAAAAGCACCAGAGGCACCTGGTACTGAGTCAATGACGTGTTGGAGTTTCTGTAAGGAGTATCCAACTTTCTTGATTTTTCGAGAGGGCCAGCGATTTATTCCATGTTGCCTACAGATTCTTTTCAACGTTGTTGGGCACACTGAAGTTGAAGGAAAACAGGAAATGACATCAAAATCTAAAGAAATAATAGAGAACAATATACATTTATCTTCATTAGTATAACATGCTATATGACAAGAATACTTTCTGCAACACTTACCAGCCAATAAACCAGAAAGAAAATAGCAACCAATATGGTAACTGACAGACCTCTTCAATTTAAATGTTTACCCTTTTTCTTTCTTCATTTTTCAACAATAACTTCTTTTAAGAAAAAAAAATATATCAAGTTGTTTATCTACCGAGCTTACACTAAAACCAAAACATTTAATCAACTTTAGCTTTATGCAATAACACTTACCACCAATGCTTTTTGCTGCATCTTTTAGGCTTCCAGCAAAATATCGGCGGAGAACTTGCAAAGTGATTGTTTTTTCTACCTTGGCACGCCTTTTCTCTCCTGCTTTTCCCACTGCCACACTCGAAAAGCTAATCTCATTAAAAGTAGAATCTCCACATTCAACACTTTCTCTTAGGCTAATATGTTCTTGATGCTGCTTCACCTCAGATAATTTTACATCCAACACTGCCCTTTGTTTTTCTTTTCCAAGTACCAATGCAGCGTCACTGCTCCGTTGGACCTCAGTGAGACCGGCAGTCCAAGATGAATTTTCTCTAGAACACCTTTGTGAATGATGAGTGCACTGCTCTTTTGACAACTCTTCTCCACTAGGTATGCCGTCTGAAGGGGCTATAACTTCACTAACTGCCAAATCTGTTTCTTCCTCTAGCTCCTTATCTGTTACAACCCTTAAGCTACAGCATACTTGTTCTATAATGATGGACAGTAAATTAAGCATCTTCTTCTGTTCCTCTGGAGCTCTGCAGTCCACAGGTAAGAAAAACTCCAAGATAAAATCTGTTTTACCAGTGTGAATGCATCGCAGACGTATTGCAACAGCAGCATGCAATTTAAAAATCCTGGCATGGTGGGCAAGAGGATATTCAGTCTTTTTAAAGGAAGTTATGTCAGCTGAGAAGCATGGTTGGTTAGTCATAAATGCTCCCCCGACAACACCCTGACCTTTTAACAAGTGATGCTCAGAGCAAGCTTCATGGAAACCCCGGATATTCGGATCAGCTATATAGCAGATATCATCCACAGTAGACACACAATGAACATAGTTCTCAGTGGAATGTCGGCACCCCTCTTTACCTTGCTGGATACAAGGAACCCAAGTCTGAGCCAGGGGTAATCTATGAGTCTCACAAGCAAACCTTAAAACTTCTTTGATCTCGGGTAAGGCAGCTTGGTAGGAATTATTGCATGCCTGATAAAACGTGAGTCTAACCCATAAGTGCAAGAACAAGTTCAGAAGTCCTTAGCGGTTAAATTTATTCCATAAGTCTATGAGAACTTACCTTTATGTTTTGAGTGCTGGAAGCTATAGAACTCCTGAGATTGACAGCCTGCTTGTAAGGAAAAACAGGATTAAAGAGAATTCTCAGAACTTGAACTGCATGCTTAAATTGCAACTATAAGCAACAGAGTATAAATGAAAATTCATGAAAATAGAACCTTTCATTTCCTTCTGTCCTGAAGTTGGCTATTGCATTAGCAGAAGATTCCTAACAACAGCTAGTTTAAAAGGGATGCAATTAACAGCATGGCATGCAACATTCAGCGTCAACAACATTTGCAATTACTCATGTGTGACAACCAAAGAGGTAATAAGAAAGAGGAAAAACAATCAATAAGCAAATTTATAGAGAAAAGTGCAAGGAATTAGCGGTTTAATATGGAACAAGAATTAAAAACTCAACAATTATTCAATTTAATCATTAATCACATGCATGAGATTGACCATTTTCCAAATGCAGTTTCTAGTAATTATTCACCAAGACTTGCAATAAAGGTAAACTAATATTCATTAAATTTCAGTCTATAGCACTGAATTAGTTGAATAAGAACAATCTACATAATTTCACCACCTCTCAAAAATGAAAACATAAAACAGGCAAAGAAAAGGACCTCTAATGCTTTGCAAACACTTTCAAGCTCAGGCCGAATCCTGATTTTCTCTGTAGTCATCACAACTTCAATAACACCCAAGCAAGTTCTACTACCTTGTTCAAAAACAGGAAGTGCAAAGGTTCCACGAACATCATGTTGTTGCGCATGATGTACTCGTGGGTACTCATCACTTCTAAAGAATCGGACATCAGGAGTCCACTCTGGAACCTTACTCAGGAAAACCCGACCAGGCAGTCCTGCCATGTCCTTGGAATCCTCTTCTGCTGCAAACTGATAATTAACAGAGATATTCCTGTAACTTGCAAGCTTTTGGCTGTTGGGATCAAGTGAAAAGGGTTGTTCACTGGTAGTTAGAACACGTTTACCTCCTCTATTTACAGGTACCCATAGTTGTACAAGGACATCTTTTTCTTTTCCAAAATCTTTAATATAACCAAGTGCCTGAATTAACCTCTGCATTACAGAAGTTGTAGGACCAGGATTGGTTGTGGGTCCAATCCACCATCTTCTGCTCAGTTCACAACCGTCAGTTATACAATCACCATGTAGACTGTGATCCCTGTCAACGACAACCAAGTTGTGGCTAAAATGAGAACTGACCCAACTTTCACCTTGAGTTTCATTCACATGTGAATTCCCTGGCAACAATGGTCTTTGATTCTCTCCTTGATTCTGTACTTGAGGGAGGCCACCACCTAAATCACCAGTGTTAGGCTCTGAAGAAGGCCATATAGATGCAGAATCAAAGAGAGCATTTGAACTGGATGGACTAGGATTAAGGAATTCAGATCCTCCTGTTGTCTCCAACCAGCACCCGTCTAACAACAAATCATCCATGTAGTCGAAGTCCATTGCTGAATCCGGCGGGCCGCCCAGCATGGCGCCTGGTGAGAAAATGGCATCTTCCATCACGGTGTTATTCCACTTAATTTTAGAAATCGAAGGTCCCTCAGGATGATCTAATGTCAACGATAAATTTGACAAGAATAACTTCAAGGATCAATTCCTGTCTTCACAAGATAATCTGTCCATATTGACCAAATATGACCGATCAAATTCTTCAGGAATATCAACTTGGATAAGATCATAAGAATAATGAAGTTCCACAGAGAATTGGAAATAGTAAAGCCGATCGACCAAAAGCTTAAGGCAAAAGATAAGGAATAATTATTGTCTATCATATACAGATTAGTCTTCTCTTTTGCTGTTCCACATCTAATAGCAGTCAAAAAGAGAAGAAAAAAAAAGAAAAAAATCTCCAGCACGTAAGACGAGAATCAATCAAAGGATAAATCCCAATTTGAGGAGTACCACATTGAACAAAGGAATAAGCATATAAAAACTCAATTTCCACATTTTTTTTCTGGCTGGTCAGCAGATAACTTCAGCACTTTTGATTCAAGATTCTCGTTTTACCAGATGGAATAAAGAACATACCCTTGAGAAAAGTATTTTCGCCATAATCCAGATTATTAGAGCTAACTAATATGGTCTATGCACTAATATAACCCAAAACATTTAACCATTAAAAGCAAAGGATTTTCAATTTCTTCAAATAAATAAATAAATAAATAAATAAAAAGCAAAAGAAAAACAAAAGACAGCAACTCACCATGTAGTATATGTACCATGTGGAGATTCTTGAAGATACCCTAAATCTTAAACGGGTACTACGCCAGAGTCCAGATCATACCAAACTGTTTTATTTTCTGGTGATATTTATTTATTGTACTTTTTCTTGAAAGTTGATATAGTAGCTCAAAAAGAAAACCTGTCTGAAGAAGCAGGAACAAAAACAACGTGAGCAACATGACAGATCTCATAAAAGCTTGAAACAGGCTGTCTTTCTTCAAAACTCCGCAAGATAAGAGCTGTTGCCTCTCATAGGTGCTATCTCTCTGCGCCCCTCGAAAAAAGCTTACTCTTATGAGAATGAAGATTCTGCCTTTCAAGCATTGGCCCCACGCGACACACAAACAAATCCTTTCGTGGGCCCTGAAATTCTCGATGAAAAGTCAACCTTTGCAAGCCGACCACTGGAAAAGAACAACAACAACTAATCTGCTATGCTTCGCTGATGTTAGACTCTGATAAATGATGATTAATAATGGAGGGTAATTGTTGTATACAGGGACGGTTTTACGGTGGGGCAGTGGGGGCAACTGCCCCCTCTGAAATTCTATAATCCTTTTAAATATATTATAAAATTAGATAAACATTTTAATATTTTTACATTTTATTCCCACTAAATTAAAAATATATATATATATAAAGAAATGATTTTAAAAATATTATAAAGTATAAATATATTTTAATAAAAAAATTGACTCATTTCAAAAGAAAAAAACATATTATATGTAAATATTAATAATTTTGATTTATAAATAATTATTTCATGTAAATCTTAGTTTAACTAACTTAAATTATAATTTAGTATTATTTTTCTCACTTTTGTCTCTATCTACTTATTCTCCTCTTTTTTTATTTACAGATTTCATTTTTTTACTTATGTGAAGTATCATTACATTATTATAAAAGTATAAAAGTCAAGCATAAAATAACAAATTTGTAGAAACATAATCTAACAAAATCTAAAATATAGAAAAAAAAAAAAAAACTAGTATCAATTTTAAAATTATTAAAAAAGTTAAAAATATATATAAAAGTAACTTGTTGTTGGCCCTAATTTGTATTTTCATATCTTATCTTATGTTTTAAAAACTATAAAGAAATTAAATTAATATTTGATTTAAGTTAATCAAAGATAAATATAATTAGTAACGGAAAGTGAATTTTAAAATAAATATTTGAAATTCAATAAATTTATATATCTTTTAACATTGACAATGAAAAAAAAAATTCTTAGATTTTCTACTTATGAAAATTATTTAACTCAATTATACAGTATTATTTTCATTTGAAAAATGATAATATAATGTGTTTGCATTTATTTGATATTTAAAATTTCGATGCATTTTAATATTATAAGTTTTTGTTATATTTATGTTAATTTTTATTTAAATTTTTTATATATTTGATATTATAAAAAATATTTCAAATTCTTTTATTAAAACTCTATTTTACAATTAGAAAACATTACTTTTTATATTAAATAAAAAATTTTAAATAAATATATTATATAATAAATTTGACACCACTGAAGAAAAATTCTAGATCCGTCCTTGGTTGTATATTTGGGTAATTGTATCGCATATAATAAAAATAAATGGAATCAAATTTCTTCAAGTGGTAAAAATGGTTACTTTCTAGTGTATGCCGCTTTAACTCCTCTGAGATGCTCTTCTCTCGCTCACCAGCCTCCCTCTCCATTAATTTATTCCATAAACATAAACAAATCTTTTTAATTTATGTTATAGTATATAATATTAATAAATATAATATAATATTCAGTAAAAAACTGGGGCACGATGGGTGGCAGAAGCTCGAAGCGAGTCAGACTCAGAGAGGTACTTTCCTCCTTCACTTCAAAAGTCTAGTTAAATTTTCAGTTTTTAATCTGTTAGTGCTTCATTTCAACAGTGAAGTTGAACTTGCAACTTGCAAGGTGAAGTCCGATTGCAATGGTCGGTGGTGGAGGGTGAATTTACATAACAAAACAAGGCTTAAAAGTGGTTGTCAAGACCTCTCAGTCAAGATTCAAGAATATGAGTGGAATTTAGTTGCAAATGCAAGTTGGGGTCAAGAGGCCAGGTTGGGCTGTGAGTGAGCTACAGCCTCTATCATCAACTTGACAACTTGAATCATTTCCACAACATCCCACGCAATAAGTAGGTAGGTAGCCTATTTTTTTCCTTTTCAGTTCTATGTTTTTCCCCTGAAAAACTGTTTATAGCTTTGAAAATTACAGTGAAATAATACTAAAACTGTTTTCATCATGCAGAAAATTTTAGCATAGGCCAAAATTTGAGGGCCAAGAGAAAAGTGTAATGTATCCGAATTTCAATCTCAAAACTTGAGAGATTCATTTAAAAAAAAAAAAAAACCTCTCTAGTCTTACCCTTGCGGGCCTTACCCAAGAAATTACAAACAGATGGTATTACTATTTATAGAGTGTGAATAGACGCAATCTTTAGTTTAGGGTCTTTAGGCAATATTATGACTCAAGAATTAAGATTTTATGTGTAAAACAGACTGTGCCATAAAATACAAATGGAATTGGGAAGGGATGGTGGGGTTGATTAAGACTCTAGTTATATTTTAAAATTGGACATATATTGATAGTGTTACGTGATCATTATCTTCTTCTTTTTTTAAAATCGACTTAATCAGTTTATTAAATTTTAATAATTTTTTTTTCATGTATGATGTGGGATTGAAATATTTTGTCTACTCTATCTTGATTTTTTTTCACCCAATCTCGTGACCTCCTTATTACGGAAGTTGACCACCCTATTTATTTCTCTCGAAATACTTGTCGTGGATAAAATGATTTAGGATCTGTTTTGATATCACTTGTTACATGATCATTATCCTCTCCCTTTAAAACTGGCCTAATCGACTTATCAAGATATACAATACCAACGTTTTTTAAATCTTAGTGATCTTTTTTTATATCTGATGTGAAACTAAATTACCTTATCTACTCTTTTACGACAATAACATGTTATTGATTTTTAAAGCTAATTAATCATTTTTTGTGATCTAATCCGTACACTTTGCATTAAAATTTTTACTTTAATATAGAGTGTGTTTGAATAGACAATAAATCAGAGGAAAAATAAACAAAGTGGGGGTAAATTTGTGGCAAATTTCCTTGACTCCGGTGTTTATGTGGGGACACTTTAGGTGAATTAAACTGAAAAAAAAAAAAAAAGAAACAAAATTGAAATTGAAATCAAGCTCTTCAGAAAGGAAAAGTTTTATAAGCACTTTGTCTCACGTCATTATTTTCTATTAGTGAGAATAATTAATTATCAAGGAGAGTTCATTCATCGAATCTCTTCTAACAGAAAATGAGTTATCCATAAATAATCTAGGATGAGAAGAGCAACTTGAAAGAGAGGTCCAAGTGAGTGGCACATATCTTTGGTTCTAACAGAACACTCTAGGCAGGCGTAGGCTGGCGTACCTCGGTTTCAGGACATGAGACGCGGGACGAACGAATGGATCCTTGCCCTGGTTTTTTCAAACTTCTTTGTATCATCCTATCACATCTATTTTATTTTATATTATTCTATCTTTTCATATATTTTTTTCGTTTTCTTTTATGAATTTATCCGTGAATCAATTGTTAAGACTTGCTTGTTGCTACCGCTTTATTAATTCAATCAATTTATCTGATCAGTAAGTAGGAGTCCAACTCGTTTCTGGTCCAATATGCTGAGCAGGAAGCAGAGGCCTCTGAAGAGTTCGGAGGGTAGTAACTTCCGTCACATTCATATAGGCCTTGATTCAAGCATATTACTAAACAAAGCAGACGCTAAGCCCATAGGATGGTATGAGCGTTGAAAGAGAAAAGTGCTGTTCTGTTTTCTAGTTTCGGTTTGTCGCCGCGAATCATCGTATGTTTGCCATACTTTTCTGGCCATTTCCACATGGCATGTAGTGAGACATGAGTCGACTGAGACAACGCAAACTGGCGTGTGGGAAGGCTAAAGATACCGTGGAGGCAAGCACGGACTCGAGAAATGCAGCAGTGCAATTTTAATCCGTACAACTCGGAGATAAATATTATTAGTACACATTATGCAACCAGCATTTATTAAATAAGATCATCAGCTTAAAACTCACATGATATGAGTGTTTGTTTAGTATTACAATATGGGGCAGAACAAAAGGATCAACAGTAAGTTTACGCTTCCAAACAACCGACAGACTCTCCACATTCAGTCGTCGCTCATCCTCAGCAACTCCCCGGTCAATTGTCCATTCAAATGCTTGGCCTCACATTGAGACGAGATGCTAACTTCTGACCCAAAGATTTATCAGCCTGTATCACATTTCAGTCATGGATAACACATCAGTACACTAATTCCAAAGATTAGACCTACAAAAAGCCCACAAGAATACATGATTTGAGTCTGAGAAGCATCGAGAGGAAAGAGAGTCTGACCTGAGACCAGTATGAGATCCAAATGCTACGGATTTCATGAGTGACACGTGGATCGGATAAGGCGTCAACCCATCGGCAGATGAAACGCTCTTGCCTGGTTGCAGCATGACAAAGAAGAAAATTTTGAGACTGATTTTTTTATCCATTTATTTTAGTTTAAAAATAGCAGAGAAACCCAGTGATACCTGTCTGGTGCCCAAGATCGGTATCTCTCTCCTGGCTGTTTGAAGTTGTTCTCCTTCTCAATAATGCACTGTGTCAACCAAAAAACTTAGTAAGTAATTAGTCTCACCAACCAAAATATTCCAATTTATATATAATCCTCCAAGCAGAATGCTAAAAGTTAAAGAGACATATACACCACAAAGCTTGAAAAGTTAGCAGAAACCCAAAATAAAAAGAGCAAATATTATCCCCTACCCTTTCCTTATAACTAGAAATCAGACAAACATGCTATTTTGCTATTGCTTATTGGATTGCAGGAAATTAATAATTACTTTAAATGCTCTTTTTGCAGCTTTTATATCAAAATTTAACCATCAAAATCAAGCCAATGGTTGTGTGGAACCGGATTAGGCAAAAACAAACATACATATAAGCTCATGCAATTGAATAAACATGAGTTGCATTGCTAAACTTAGTTGAAGTTACAAACACCACTTTGAAAATCAGAAAGGAGATGACAGTAACAGGAACTGACCTTCTCACGCTTTCCAGTGCAAACAGTAGTAGGGATAGGGAACCTCTCAGCATGACGAGCAGGATCATACCTTGACGGGAAGTAATTGATCTGAAAAACAGCATCATAGCATCTGATCAGAACACTGGCCATCATGATTTATAGCATGCATGTTAAAAATCTATGCTGCTCTATCCATTTGCACATTCAGGAATCTATTATGTGCTAGGAGAAATTAATAGAAAAGAGCAAAGTACCTCCTCATCCCTGTGCATGAAATTCATAAAACCCTCGTGGTGGTTGTTGTGATGAGCACACTTGGGAGCATTGGCTGGGAGTTGCAGATAGTTTGGTCCTAGCCTGTGCCTCTGGGTATCAGAGTAG